AGAGAGAGAGAGAGAGAGAGAGAGAGAGAGAGAGAGAGAGAGAGAGAGAGAGAGAGAGCTGCAGGTTGTTCCTCTTCTTTTGCATGCACATCTCTCTGTACCTCGATAAAGACATGACTCTCTGCTTGACTGCAAGGTGACAAATGGTGAACTGCCACGCTGCCTCCCCAACCAGTCGGTGGAGGCTTACAAATTTGCACGACATCAGGGAGTGTGTGAGCTTCATTTCTCACATGTATGAGGTCATGATGATGCTCGGGGGCTGAATGCTGCGTGTAATGGTAGGTAGTCAATCTTTGAAGGTGCAAGAGACTTGTTTTGCACAACCTGTTGGAGTGTGTGAATTCCATTAACCAGTTGTATGATGCCATCGTGTTGCTCTGGGGTGGAATTCGACATGTAGGTGGGAAATAGTCATCATTGTGGAGGAACAGTTGTACATTGCATCGAAGTATATGATGCTCGCATTCTTTATGGCTGACTTTTGTAAAACTGTATCATACTCTTTGATCTTGCTTCTCTTTCTGGTAGATCCTTTGGTAAATCCTTTTGAGTAATTATCTGCATGGTGGATTTGTTATCGTTTTGGAGGTTGAATAAAAAAATTGGCACGTTGAGCCTGATGTTTATGGTGTTCAATTGGCCTGAGCTTCATCTACTCCCAGTTGTTAAATAACCCAGACTCCCAGAGCAAGGAAGGGAAATAAAAACTATTAAAAAGACAAAAAAAGGAGCGAGAGCCGCAAGTGTTCTTGAGATCAGGTGTATTGTACGACTTGCAGACTTGGGATAACTTCTGGGCATTGGTAACGACCTACATCAAATGTGGGGTGTTGTGATGATGATTGTGCAAATTCTGTCAGTTAGGTGAAGAAGTTGCGTCTATGGAGCATGAATTGGCGGAGGCAAAGAAAGCAGTTGATGTGGCAGCCAGAAAGGGAAAGGAATTAGCTGAGGAGAAGCTGGCTTTGGAAAAGCGAATCGCAGAAGCTGGACGGGAGAGAGAAAAATGGCTGAAGACTATTCAAGAAGACCTCAAGTCCAGTAAGCAGCAACTTTCCGAAGCAGCAAAATCAATAAAGGTCCACTATTTCTTTTTCTCCCTTTACCTCTGCAGTTGTTGGTTTGCGGATTGGCGATGGTATATGCTCGATCACAATTTCGAAAGAAAATGCGTGACACGGAAAAGAAGAAACCAGCCTGTAACAACAATTTCATTTTTTCTTAAATATCTGGATAAGGCATTGTACCCTGAACGCCCTTCTTCCCCCAAATAGAACTTACGGTCATTATAGCTGTTTCTAGACGCAAAGATGCCTCAAATACAGCTATAATGACCGTATGTTGTATTCGGGGGAAGAATGTAGCTGAGAAATTACATGGACCAATAATGGGAAAAGTGAGGCTCCAGGTTCCCTTGTCAATGAAACCTAACAAATGACACACACAGTGGAGATGGTCTGTGCGATAGGAGTTTTGGCTAGCAAATTGGCAGTGATTGGGAGGACATCGCCTCAACTTTCTTGTGATCTAGGCCTGGGAGAAACAGGATTTGGGTAATCTGAGTACAGGTAGTGTATTACAAATCCAAGGAAGAGGAAAGGGGGGGGGGGTTGAGGGGCACGTGCTGCATAAAGAGCTAAATAGTTAAAACCCTTTCCCGATTGACTGTGTGATGCAAAATACTGGTGAAGTTGTCAAACAGGATAAACTCTGGTACTGACGTGCAACTTGTTCAAAGGACTTGGGTATAGCCGCAAAAGACTAATGGAACTGTCGAGTAGCTAGTTCCCTCCAATGCTTCCTTCAGGATAGCTGGAGTTGTTGAGCAGTTTTTCATACAGAGGAAAGGGGGGACACGTTCTGCATAAGGAGCTAAAAAGTTTAAAACCCTTGTCTCTATTGACTGCGGCATGCAAAATACTGGTGAAGTTGTCAAACAGGATCAACTCTGGTGGAGGCTCGCAGCGACACTGACGTGCAACTCGTTCATCAGGCTTGGGTATAGCTGGAAAAGCCACGAAAGACTAATCCAACTGTCGAGTAGCTGGTTCCCTCCGATATTTCCTTCAGGAAAGCTGGAGCTGTTAAACAGTCTTGTATACAGAAAAAAAAGGGGATCAAGCATCTAAGTTGATCTAACCAGCAAATGTTTCCGCTCGGATCGAATCAGACACGTATGATACCAGGGTGCTTTATCCTTGATATTCTTGACAATGTAACACTCAATGAAAGGGAGCAACTCAGAAAAGCATCGGGGGTCCAAGTTCTCGTTCGCAGATTTAACCATGAAAGGATTCGAAATGTTTGGGGTGCATCAAGGGCGAATTGCAAATTCGCTTTATGAAAGACAAAAAATCAGGGTAGAGCATACATTTTAAAAAAAACTTACAATACACAAAAGCGATCAACTTATGAAAACTCAACGTTGGTCAGCGCTGAGTTTGGAAGAAAAAGATACATCATTAGCCAAGGCATTGAAAGTTCACCGAGAATGAGTGTTGAGTCAATTCTCATATATGAATCATCCTTCGGCTTTGAATGTCAATAAGAGAGGCCTCTGCTTTCGGTTGCGAAGCCACAAAATGCCTGTGCATTGTATGCAAGGGAAAAAAAAAAAGTGCAACAAAAGAGTAACTGTGCAAAAAGCAAGGAAAACCTGATTATTATTCCAAAACGCGTTGTCTAGCATCGCGAATAATCCCCTTTTCGAGGAATCCCTGCATCCTAGCAACTGATCTCTCCCTCCCAAGAACTTGAACCCCCTTTTTTTTGGAGCGCAATCTCTTCTCGCCACTAAGAACGACAGCCGTGTGCGCCATCTCCTAGATTGGAAGGGCAGTTGCTTAGGTACCTTAGATAACAAGGTCGTTTTGATATAAGAATGGTGTGGGGTCATCAGATCGGAATACACGTCCGGAGGAGAAGAAGATGCAAGACACACATGGAAGTGCACGTGGAAAAAGAGAACGTCTACAGGCAAAAAAGGGGTCGTCAATAGTTTCTTGGGCAAGGGAAGGATTGAGTTCCTTGAATGAAGGGTTGTCCTCATATACTCAACTATTGGACAGCAAGAACCCACGGTTTTGCTGCGTCGCGCGAGTGTACCATCCTTGTGAATAGTCTGCATTCTTCTTTTTTGTGTGGTTTGGCGCACTCCGACTTTGCCCTTGTTAAACTGGTCACATACCGACTTCGCCCTTGTGAATGGTCGTGTGGTGCACAGGGTGGAGCGCAAGAGGTTGAACGGCTGACGCTAGAGAAGGAAGCCCTCCTTAAGGAGAGAAAAGCATTAGAGGACCAGATATTGGCATCTGGACAGCAGATTATAGAGATTGAAAAAGTGCTGCTGGAGATGCAAACAAAGGTAACTTGGGCTGCCACATTTCCTTGCCCATCCTGTTTGCAGATTGACTTCAACAATTCTAAACCCTAAACCCCAACCCTGAACCCTAACTCATTATCTACCAAAGAACAAGAGCATAGTTGATGGCAATATCTCTCAGTTATGCGGGGAGCTTTTTGGGTTCCGGATGCTCGAAACACTTCCGTATTAAATCTGCTATTTATCTATTTAGGTGCACTACGTTTTCTATTCTTTTCTGCATATGTAGCTTCTCTTTTTGTTTGTATAGGTCTCATAAATATACCAATAATGAAATTCTCTGTAAATTGGTGGAACACTTTGCATCAACCTTCTATCCTCAGCCATCCTGTTTTTTTGGGGGGGGGTATTGACTTGAATAACCCTAAAGGGCCTAAACACTAAAGCACTAACCCAGAATCCTGAATTCTGAACCCTAACTGGTTCATGTACGAATGGACAATGTCATGCCCCATACCTCTCTGTCCAAGAATCTCCGAGAATTCTGCGGTGCAAGTATTCTTTTTTTGCCTTTTTGTTTCACCCTTTTTGTTTGTCTCTTGGGGTGACTTAAGAGCCTCAAGGGCTGGGCTTGCTTCCCTGGTATTGCTGAAGGGGTAGGATTGCAAGAATCGTCTTTTCTCTTTTTCTTTCTTTTCCCCCCAGTTTTCAAATAATATCGGAACCCTTTTCGTTCAACTGGCCTGGCTATATTGGCCTCGATTGATGGATGGCGAAGGTTAACTAAAGAAAATTCTTTCCTTTTGAAGATTATTCCAAGTGCGCTATACTTTAAGACAGAGCAAGCAAGAGACTCTGTCTGCAAAAAAAGAGAATCGCAGCTGCCAAGGGTGACCGAACTTGCTACCAGAAAGGACCTTACATACAAAAGAAGAACTTGTATCCGTAACAAAATTTGCAAACATAACCCTGTACAGTCAATAGCATACTCGCAACCGCACCGCGCGCTGCACGGTCTGGTGCGTTGTACGGGTTCTGGTACGAGACCTCCACGGCCTCCGTACAGGCCCGCACCCGTACTGTACAGGGGCGCGCGCTGTCGGGTGCGGTCATCTCCCGTCTGGTACGGTTTCGCACGCGAGCTGTGCAGAGATGTCCACTCCCCCGTCTGGTCCTGAGCGGAATCTTTTTTTTTTTTTTTTCATAAGCACTGCAAGGTGGCACCCTTGCTCGCATCTTTCCCTGAGACCCCGTCTTCGTCGTCTTCATGGCAAGGCTGCTTGATCAAAACGGAACTGTACTTGCGGCTTGTCATCATGACCTGTGCACAAAACCACAAAAGAAAGCCACAAAATCAGCTGTGACCTGCATCCACTCCAAAAAACACATCCCCCACCCCCTCCCCCTCCTAGCCCTCTCACTCCCGAAACCCCCACAAAATCAGCCTTGTTGCACCCCCTCCTAGGCCCCAAGCCCCCCTAAGACCCCGCAAAAATAGCCCTTCACTGCTTTTCCAAATCAGAAATGTAAAAAAAAGAACAACGATTAATTGCCTTTCAGAAACGGAAACAATTGCTTTTCAAAATTTCGATGAAAAAAAAAAAAAAGTGACGAGGCCATGACAAGGAGGATGAGAGATGGAGGACAAAGAGGAGAAGGTGAGGAGAGACGGAGGAGGAGAGATCGAGGAGGAGAGATCGAGGAGGACAAGGACGAGAGATGGAGGGTGAGAGATGGAGGGTGAGAGATGGAGGAGGAGACACGATTGCAGTTTGGAGTTTTAATGAAGGGAAAAAAAAGTGGCAAGGCCATGACAAGGAGGAGATGGGATGGAGGAGGAAGAGGAGGAAGAGGAGGAGATGGAGGAGGGGAGGAGAGATGGAGGAGAGGAGCGATGGAAGAGGAGAGGTGGAGGAGGGAAGATGAACGAGGAGGGATGGAGGAGTAGGAAACAAGGAGGAGATACCGTCGTAGTTCGAATTTCGAGGTTTCATTAAAAAAGAAAAAAACAAAGTAACGAGGCTGAGACAAGGACGAGATGAGATGGAGGAGGAGAGATGGGGGAGGAGAGATGATGGAGGAAGAGGAGGAGATGGAGGAGAAGAGATGGAGGAGGAGAGGAGGACATGGAGGAGAGGAGTGATGGAAGAGGAGAGGTGGAGGAGGAAAGATGAACGAGGAGGGATGGAGGAGGAGGAGGAGGAGGTAACAAGGAGGAGATACCGTCATAGTTCAAATTTCGAAGTTTCATTAAAAAAGAAAAAAACAAAGTGACCAGGCCGGATGAGATGAGATGGAGGAGGAGAGATGGGGGAGGAGAGATGACGGAGGAAGAGGAGGAGATGGGGGAGAAGAGATGGAGGAGGAGAGGAGGACAACGATATGACAGGGAGGAGGAGATAGCATCGAAGTTCGAAGTTTCCATGAAAAAAAACGAAGGGACAAGGCCGTGACAAGGAGGAGGAGAATGGAGGGAAAGAGGAGAGAGGAGAGAAGGAAGAGGAGGAGGAAGACGACGATGACATGACAAAGGGAAGGAGATACCAAGTTCGAAGTTTCCACCCAAAAAAAAAAAGTGATGAGGCCGTGGCAAGGAGGGTGAGAGGTGAAGGAGGAGAGATTGAGGAGGAAAGATGGACGAGGAGAGATGGAGGAGGTGGACGAGGAGAGACTCCATCAAAAAAAAAGTGACGAGGCCATGAGGAGGGTGGAAAAAAACAAAGTGATGAGGCCGTGACAGGGAGGAGACGAGATGGAGAAGGAGAGATGGGGGAGGAGAGATGGAGGAGGAAGAGAAGGAGATGGAGGAGGAGAAGAGTAGGAGGAGGAGGATGCTGACGACATGACAAGGAGGAGATACCATCAAAGTCCGAAGCTCCCAAAAAAAAAAAAAAAAGTGACAAGGCCGTGACAAGGAGGAGAGATGGAGAAGGAGGAGATGAGGAGGACGCAGACATCACAAGGAGGAGATGCCATCACATACTTCTAAGTTTCCATGAAAAAAAAAGCGACGAGCCCGTGACAACCTGGACGACTGATGGAGTAGGGAAGATGGACAAGGAGGTGTGAAAGAGGATGAGGAGGAGAGGAGGAGGAAGAAGAGGAGAATGTGATAAGTAGAGATACCGTCGCAGCTCAAAGTTTACATAAAGAAGGTGACGAGACCTTGAGAAGGAGGGATAGAGGAGGAGGGCGAGAAGGAGGAGGACAGGTGGAGATGAGGAGGAGATATGGGGAAAGAGGAGGGGAGGTGACAGGGAGTAGCAGGTCACAAGGAGGAGGAGGCAGTCACAAGGACATACCATCAAAGCTCCGAGTTCCCAAACTACGCCATGACAAGGAGGAGGAGAGATGGGGGACGAGGAGGAGGAGGAGGAGAAGAGGAGGGGGAGGAGAGGAGGAGGAGGGGGAAGATGTGGAGGAGCAGGGGGAGGAGGAGGAGGAGGAGGACGTGAGTTCGAGGGAGGGAAGGAGGGCGATGGAAGTAGGTGCTGGTCGTGGCTCCGGAGCTTGTTGATGGTGGGCATCGGAGGGGGAGATCGGCGCTGCTCACGAGGAAGACAAAGGCGGTGGAGGACGGTGGCGCTGCTTCCTTAATCTGGGAACTGGAGGTGGGCCTGCAGCAACAACAAAGCAAAGAAATGCCTCCACCCAAGCACTCCTATGTCTTTCCCACCCGATGGATAGCAGAGAAATGAATCCGAATTCATTTCGGGCCGCGCTTGAGTGCAGCCCGTTAAAAAACAATTCAGGCGCTGAATCGTTTTTTGCTGTTGGGGGGGGGGGTAGCGACGAAAAGACACCTGCCGTTTTGTTTTTTTTGGGGGGGTGGGCCTGGGGTCTTGTACGGCATGCAGGTGGTGTGCCTCACAGTTCGGGTGGGCGTGTGCGCCAACAGTCCACGATTTAGCGCACGACGTGCACTTGCCTGTACGGTCAATAGTATTTAACGTACTTGCTATGATCCTACCGTCTTCACCCAAATAGAACGCCCGGTCATTATCACTGTATCTAGACTGAAAGTTGTACCAAATACATCTATAATGAACGGGTGTTCTATTCGGGTGAAGATGCTAGTTCCACTGTTCAAGTCATGATGTTATATGTGTGGCAAGTACCTGTGAAATCATACTCGACTTATTCACACTTCATCATGCTTGCAAACAGCGATACAGCGAACTGGCGACATGCGCCCACACAGTACTCAAAGATATCGTAACCAGATATGAGTTCTCTTCCAACTGGCTATGGCGACTGTGCGSCCATACAACTCACTGTTCACACTCGAGATCACCCTGGATGTCCCACACGCAACGCTCAATGTTCATACACAACACACACACACACTAGGCTATGGCTATGGCAGCGCTAGCTGCCACTACCCTATCGCTACACTACACTTCTCTGCCCACTTTGTCTTCGGGCACACTGCAGACCTCCTCGCACAAGCTGCTGAGGCTGCGCTTCCGCATGGCATCCGAATGAATGAATGGCTGGACGCAGCCTCTTGATTTATACTTCTGCGCTGCGTTGGTCTGCCCTCTACCCCTTGGCCCATGATGTGCACAGTCCCAGACGGTACTTGCTTGACTGGACCGGACTGGGCTACCTGGGACTGCTGACTGGGCTAGGTGGACTACCACCACTTGACCACTTGCCTCTGCTAAACACAGGCCAACTCCGAAAGGTCAGTTCTAGAAACCTCTACGTTGGCCCTTCGGTACTGTAGCAGCTACGACTGTGCCCTCTCAGGTAAGTARCAGCTACGACCTTGACTCCTCAAGCAGCCTACAGCTACCACTTCGGAACTGTCTAGACTCCTAATCTATAGGTCTACAGTTCGATTCCCTTCTACCCTGTGACCTACGACAAATTGCCTACCACTGGCGTTCCTACAGGTCGCAGGTTCAAGCCTACGGGTTGACACTGATACTGTACACAGGTAAGACGGGGATCTAGGGATCGAGCCCTGGGATCTGCATTTGCTACCGCAAACTGCTGAATACCGTTTCACTCCCGCCGGCCTAAATTCGAGGTCCTCC